ACTTTGTTCTTCTTCTTCAATAGTGCTTTGCTTATCCAAGGTCTCTTTCCTTTCTATATAAAGTTAGTGATTGGTTTTTCCATATCCTTAAAGAATGTTGGTGGGAACTGGATTAGGATTGCATTGAAAGTATAGATTGCTTTGGGTAGAACTGACATTTTCACAATGCTCCATCTTCTTATCCACGAGCATGGCATGTTCTTCCATTTATGTAGATCTCCTGTGGTTTCTTGAAGTAGTGTTTTGTAGTTTTCTTTGTACACGTCTTTTGTGTCCTTGGTAAGATTTATCCCAAAGTATTTTATATTTTTGTTAGCTACTGTAAATGGTGTTGATTTCCTTACTTCTTTTTCTGCAATCTCTTTGCTGGTGTACAGGAATCCACCTGATGTTTGTATGCTGATCTTGTATCCTGCCACTGTGCTAAATCTCTCAACAAGTTCCACTAGTTTTATTTATTTATTTATTTGTTATTTATTTATTTTTACTGAGTCTCTTGGGTTTTCTACATACAGAATCATATCATCAGCAAATAGGGATATTTTGACTTCTTCTTACCAATTTGGATGCCTTTAATTTCCCTTTCTTGCTTTATTGCCCTGGTTAAGACTTCCAATATATTGTTGAATAGAAGTGGTGACAGAGGGCATTCTTGTCTAGTTCCAATCTCTCTCCATTGAGAATAATGTTGGCTGTTGGTTTTACATATATGGCCTTTATCACGTTGAGGAATTTTCCTTCTATTCCGATTTTTCTGAGAGTTTTTATCAGTAAAGGATGTTAGATTTTACCAAATGCCTTTCCTGCATTGATTGATATGATCATGTGGTTCGTCTCCTTTGTTTTATTTATGTGATGGATGATGTTGATTGTTTTTGTAATATTGAACCATCCTTGCATACCTGATATGAACCCCACTTGGTTTTCTTGTTATGTTGTTGGAGTCTATTGGCTAGGATTTTGTTGAAAATTTTTGCATCTATATTCATGAGGGATATTGATCTGTAGTTTTCCTTTTGTTTTTGTTTTTTTTTTGTATTAATTCCAATTTTTACTGTGCATACACACTCACCAATGTATTTTAATTATGGGTTTTTACAATACATATGGTTTTACCACCTGGTTTATTGTGAACATTTCCCCTGGTTTTCTACAACAGTTAAAATATTTGCCCAATAAAGAGAAAACATAAAGTAATCAATCATGTTGGGGAAATTTAGATATTTTTCTTTCCCAAGAAGACTTTATTCTCCTTACAATGCCTTGAGAAAAGAGAAGCACTGTCTTAGATAGCTTGTGTTATACTGCTTTCTATAGATGATGGGCACTTGCCCTTTAGTTAGCTTTTGAATTTGTTTCTCTACTCTTACCTTGTCATGAGTTCTGGTGGTGTAGTGCCTAAGGCATTTGACTGCTAACCAGAAGGTTGTCAAGTAAATTATTTTGTTTTCCCATTCTGTCTTTCCCCTTTACTTTCTCTTATCCACCTAGTCTCCAGGGTAAACACATATCTCCATCACTATAGCACTCCTGTCTCCTACCTTCCATTAAAGATGCTTTTTCTCTTTTCTTTTAACTACATTCTTTATTGATTTTTGACCAACTCTATTATTCTATCCTCAGTTCCACATTCCAAACAAAACCAAACTCACTGCCATCAGTGGGATCCGCCTCATAGTCACCCCTCCTTGAGTTTCCAAGGAGGGGGTATTACTACGGAAGTAGATTGCCCAAATTTCTTTACAAGGAGTGGCTGGTGGGTTTGAACTACCAGCCTTCTGGTTAGCAGTTAAATGCCTTAGGCACTACACCACCAGAGCTCCTCAGTTCCACATTAGGATTAGCCTTTAATAATCTCAAGATAGAATTCATATGTTTATAGAAAAACGTTGATATGAACCCCTTTGTTGAGCTAGATGTATCAAGATACACAGGGCTTGGTCACAAAGTAGATATGGTTAACTATTTTTTTAAAGTAGTTTTTGGGGTAGGAGGGCAAAGTAAAGGAAAACAGCAACTGGCACATTAAGGAAGAATTAGAGACCATTATTGAAATGTATTAATTATTTAAAGGCAACAAACCAATGATCATCTTTCAGTTATGTTAGAGTGGCAGCCCTTACTGATCATGACATCTAAACTTGCAGTTCCAGAAAAGGCAAAGTTGATTAATAGGACAGTGTAGAAATGTAGATGCCAGCTAGCATAAGAGTGGTGCATACGGATGGCGTTAATTCTGGAGTCCTGGAAGCTGTTAGGTGCTCATCCATCACATGGCCATCACAGCCAGGCAAAAATGTCTGATGAAAGCAGCGAAGCCTGCCGTGCCAGCATTTACACATGGAACACTTCTTGGGCAGCCAGGTGTCATGGGGCACAGACCCACAGTTCTCTCTTTGAACATCATGCTCACAGTTCCGTCCGTAGAAAGAGGGAGGGCAGGTGCAAAAGGAACCCAGCATGCAGGTTCCCCCATTCAGACAGCAGGTCTTGTTTAGTTCTTTACTGTCCTGGATGCCCAGGAATGAGAAAGGCTGGACAGACTGATGATGAACTGCACGCTCTTCCTGGGACCGAGTGTTGGCATCTCCCTGTGAAAGACGTGCAAACTCATGGTGGTCCAACCCAGCAACTAATCCCAGTTCAAACGCTTTGGAAAAGGCCATGATGAAAATCATACTGGAAGTGAAGCACCCCATCTTCCTGTGGTCCAAAGCTCTTAACAACTGAAGGAGAAAAATGTTAGCATGGCTTTTTAATTGACAGAGTCACTGCTGAAGCACAAAAAAGGAAAACATTTAAAAAGAAAAAATATTCCAGATTAAAAAATATGGTTTCCTCAGGAGTCAGGATGTCCAAGGAAAGCCAGGCGCTCATCACTTTATGGCTCCAGTGAATGCTTTGACCTTGAGGCGGGACTTGGCCTTCTGGGGGAACAAACAACAAACTCCTGGGGTGGCGAGGAAGTCTCTCAGGTGGGCCTAGTTTTCCTTTTGAGTGATGCCTTTGCCTGGTTTTGCTATCAATTTTATGTTTGCTTCATAAAATGAATTTGGGAGGATTCCATCCTTTTCTGTGTTTTGGAATAGTTTGAGTAAGATTGGTGTCATTCCTTCTCTCACCGTGTGGTAGAAGTCTTGGGTTAAATCATCTGGGCCAAGACTTTTTTGTTGTTGTTGGTAATTTTTTTTATGACCTGTTCAGTTTCTTCTATTGTTATGGGTCTGTTCAATTTTTCTGCCTCAGTCTGTGTTTGTTTAGGTAAGTAGTATGTTTCCAGAAATCTGTCCATTTCTTCTAGATTTTCAAATTTGTTGGAGTACAGTTCTTTATTGTTTTTGTTGTTGTTATGTGCTGTGGAGTCGGACCTGACTCATAGCGACCCCTCCTTGGGTTTCCGAGGCAGTATCGCTACAGAAGTAGATTGCCCGACCTTCCTTCCAAGGAGTGGCTGGTGGGTTTGAACTGTCAGCCTTCTGGTTGGCAGTCAAGCGCCTTAAGCACTATGCTACCAGAGCTCCCACAATTCTTTATAGTATCCTGATATTATCTTTTTTTGTTTCAGTTGGTTCTCTTGTGATGTCACCCATTTCGTTTCTTGTTAGTGGTATTTGTATTCTCTCTCTCTCTTTTCCTTTGTTAAATTTGCCAGGGGTTTGTCAATTTTATTAATCTTTTCAAAAAACCAACTTCTAGTCTTGTTGATTTTTTTCTATTGTCTTTCTTTTACTGTTTCTTTGATTTCTGCTCAAATCTTTATTATTTCATTTCTTCTGGTGACTGTAGCCTTTTCTTGCTGTTCCTTTTCTAATTGTTGGAGATGTTGGTCTAAAGTGTTGATTTTGGCTCTTTCTTCTTTTTTGATGTGTGCAGTTATTGCTATAAATTGGCCTCTGATCACTGCTTTTGCTGTGTCCCAAAGATTTTGGTATGTTGTGTTTTCATTCCTTCTCATTTTATTCAAGGAATTTTTAAATTTCATTATTTATTACTTATATTACCCAGTCATTCTTAAGGAAGGTGCTGTTGAGTTTCCATATGTTTATTCTTTTTCCGTTTATCTTCCTATTGTTGATTTCCAATTTTATAGCATTGTTATCTGAGAAGATGTCTTGCTGTATTTCAATGTTCTTAAATTTATTAAAGCTTGTTTTATGACCTAACATATGGTCTATCATGGAGAATGTTCCATGTACACTGAAAAAGAATGTATATTGTGTTGTTGTTGGGTGAAGTGCTTTGTAGATGTCTCTAAGGTCTAGTTGGTTGATTGTATTCTTTAGTTCTTCTATGTCTTTGTTGAGTTTCTTTCCAGTTGTTCTATCTGTGATTGAAAGTGGTGTATTAAAGTCTCCTACTATGACTGTAGAGTCATCCACTTGTCTTTTCAATTCTGTTATAGTCTGATGTATGTATTTTGGGGCTCTTTCAGGGGGTCCATAGATATTTATTAGAGTTATATCTTCTTGTTCGATTGATCCTTTAATCATTTTATAATGTTCTTCCTTGTCTTTTATGGTGGTTTTTGTCTTAAAGTCAATTTGATCAGAAATTAATATTGCCACTCTTTCTCTCCTTTGGTCAACACTTTCTAGATATATTGTTTTACAACCTTTGATTTTCAGTCTATTTTTTTTCTTTGTCTCTAAGGTGTGTCTCTTGTAAAAAGCATATTGGTGGCCTATGTTTTCTTATCCAGTTGGTAACTGTCTCCTGAGTGGTGCATTTAATCCATTCACATTCAGAGTAATTACTGTTATTGTGTTGTTAAGTACCATCAAGTCGTTTCTGACTCTCAGCGACCCCATGAACAGCAGAACGAAACTCCGCCTGATCTCATGCCAGCTCCATGATCCCTGCTATACTTGAGCTCATTGTCACAGCCACCATGTCAATCCACCTTGGTGAAGGCCTTCCCCTCTTTCGTTGACCCTCCACCTTATCATGCATGAAATCATTCTCAGGGAATGGTGCCTTCTGACAACATGACCAAAGTAGGTGGGACAAAGTCTGGCCATTCTCACTTCCAAGGAGCATTTCAGATGCACTTCCTCCAGGACAGATCTGTTAGTTCTTTTAGCAGTCCATGGTACTTTCAGCATTCTTCGCCAGCACCACAACTCAAAAGCA